ACACACACACACACACACACACACACACACACACACACAGAGTAAATATTTAGAGGTCAGGATGTCAGAGGGCAGAGGGTTTGCATGAATCGGTTGTCATTTAATAATTAAACAGTAACCCCCCCCCCCCTTCCACACACACACAAAAATCATCTCTGAGAGTAATGAAAACTGTCTGCCTCTTCTGGCGACCTTTGACCCCAGGTTGCCTAGCAACAGGCTGGAGTAGTAAAGCAGGGCTCTTGTTCACAAATGAAAAACTCAAAGGTGTTCATGATGATCAGCACCACAGGGTTTTTGTCGTGTTTTTCTTTTGCAGTTTCCCAAAGACATGAAATCATTTTTATTTTATTTCTGTAGCAAATCTGATGTTTAACAGGTTTATAGTTTTATATAAGTTGCAGAATGTCAACAACAAACTCTCAGTTTCTTATTCATGCAGGTTTGATTTGTGATCTAGATTTCTGTTTGCACAGAAACTTCCTGCAGGATTTCTTTCTATATTTACTGCCTTTTTTTAATAATATCACAAAATTTGAAACGGCAGGGGTCAACGTGGGGGTTCGGTGTCTCGCTGGAGGACATTTCCACACACGGTGGAGTTGTCTGCAGGGGGGGTGAATCGCCGTCCTTCTGATTGTAAGACAGCAACTCGACCAGCTGAGCCTCATTTGATTCTTTTGATAAAAATCAGAGTTGAAACATTTTACCAGTGAAGACGGGTTGAATATTTAGAATATTTACATCACCTGAAAACTAATAAACTCAAGGTCAGTGTAGTGAAGGTTTGTTGTTTCCCTGCATGGACAGCTTGTCCACAAAGTGCCCCCCCCCCCCCCCCCTTGATTTCCTGTTTATTCCGTGATAAACTCGTATCGATCCTCCTGTTTATGTCAGAGGATGATGTTGGGCTGGAAAATGTCCCTCAGCTCTCGTGTCGTTGCGTCAGTCGTGTCTCTGGAGTCAGAGAGGAGGTTTGTGACGTAAACGAATCACAGCTGCTGAGTCTGTGCAGATGTTTGCCTCTGTCTCTCGCCTGAGGGGCTGCTGGTTCACACAGAGGGGCTTCTGTTCAACACTGGGGGGTCTGTACTTCAGTACGATGGCCTGAAAAGATAACAGATCTAAACCCTCTGGCATTGTGAAATGAATATTTTAATCATTTCTAGAGGTTTTAAATTATTCATTAAACGCTTGTTCCTCGTCAAATCAGATTTGAGGAGCAACTAATAATAATAACAATAATAACTACCGGTAACAACTAATGATAATAACAATTAATAATAATAATAACTATCAACTAATAATCTGGTCGATGACCAGATTGTCTGAACTGAGTTGACAGATTTTAAGAGGAAAATCTGGACATTCTGAAGTTGGATTTTGTTATGAACAATTAATATGTTACCTGTTGTAGATGACCTCAGCCTGGAACAATATGCAAAAGTTTATTTCTATAGTACATTAAAAAACACCTCTTGTTGACCAAAATACTGTAGAAAACTTAAAATATAAAAGACGTGCAGGTGAACTAAAATACAACTAAATCTATATTCACTAAAATAATTTAAAATCAACTTGCTCAGTAAAACGAAACAAAAAAATTAAGAAACTAAAAGCCAGTAAAAAAAACAAAAAGTTCTGTTACTTTTAGTTTTGCGTCTGGAAACGTTTACAAGAAGTTTGGAGAACTGGAGTTCAATTCTGACGGGATTAACGAACTAACAGCTAATCTGACGGGATTAACGAACTAACAGCTAATCTGAGTGGCGTCGTTAAAACTGCTCCAGTCACCAGTTCTGTGTGAACTTTCTTCAACAGGCATTTAGAAAACTGTCAGTTTTGTGTTACTTTATTTAAATGTCATTTTACTGATGCAGCTAGCAGCTAGCTGTAGCACGTCTGGTGCACATATTTTATAATTAGCTCTTTACTAAAATCCAAGCAGCCATTTCTAGATTTCTGCTGCTTTAAATAATCCTCCTGGTGTTAAAACTCGCTGTTTGCTTTAGAAACGAACAGAGTTCTGTGTAGACACCAGCGTAAAAATGTAAAATCCGACGATGGCGTGTGTATGAAATATTTGAAGAATGAAGCTGCTTTAAGGCGACATCAATCCTCCTGGCTTGGCTGCATCCAGACTAACAGAATTAAACTCAGTTTCCAAAACGAGGTCGTTCGTAGAGCTTTCTACAGCAGGTAAGATGTTAATTGTTCACAAACCCTCCACAGAAGTCCACTTCAAAATATTTGAACTGTCCTTTTAAATAATGTTTTAAACTCAAACAGTAATATCAGTTTGTGCTTTGATGCGGGGGTGAAAGTCGTCCTCATGGGTGTTGTTTGGGGGGGGGGGGTCGGGGCAGCTGGACGTCTCCAGAGCCGTTTTAATGAAGCGAAACTCGACCGTCTGGACTCGTCCTCAGAGCGAACATTAAACAGAGCAGCTTGTTGACCTCTGAGTGCAGCTTAATGTAGTCGGCAGAGGTGGAGAGGGTGTTGGTGCCTCCCCAGGGGGGACCAGGGGTCAGAGCACCACGGCACGTGGCCCCCGAGAGGCGTCCTGTCATCTGCCTGTTTGAGTTCGAGCAGGTGTCGAAGGAGAGAGGAGACATTATTAACACAACTGATGTGGCTTTTAAAGGACATTTAAACTAAAGCAGAGCCATCAATTAAAGTTTCATCTTTCAGGCTTGAAAGAAACAAATTTTAACAGTTCAACTTCTAATCAGTGTGTCTAAATGAGCCGGTTTAAAAGTTTTATAATAAAAAAAGGACTTTAACCTAATAGCTGGTGAATGGAAAACTAGAAGCTGTGATGTAACCGTGTGATGAACCCCCTGCAGCTCATGGACGTTGACAGATGGAAATATCAATATACGATCAGAATTCATAATCTCACGCTCCGACGGCTCCGGACACAGCAGCATGTTCATGTGCACAGGTTCTGTTTCACTCAGCACGAAGGCCTCCGAGCCTCAGTGGAAAGGTGAAGCAGGTATTCTAGAAGACACCTCTGCATTTTCACAAAGCTGCGTTGATGTGAGTCGGGCTCTTTGAGTTGTTTGGGCTGTGTGCGAACTTTACATCCCAAAAGTGTCAAGAAACAACCTGCTCCAGCAGAGATTTGTCCAGAATTTCACTTGAAGCATTAAAGACGTGAGCTAAACGTGTGAACAGCACGGCTAAAGGTCGCATGGGTCGGTTCAAGTGCTCAGAAAGTTTAAATGCAAAAACTCTGCTCACCTTGAGGCTGTGCTGAATAAATTACTCTGAGGAATATTTCTCATATTAACGTGTTGAGTTCAGCAAATGTAAACTCTGACACAAGCCTGTTGTTGCACATTCAATTAACAGAAATGATCCTTTCCTCCCACAACTCTGCAGGGTTACAGCCTGCAGCATATCTGGCAACAACTGTTACTCCTTAGCTCTAATACCAGTACGCTCTCGAACACTGTTCAGCAGTGTATATATACTGTCGTCCCTCGTTTATCGTGGGGGATCCCTGAAGCCCTGCGATAAGTGAAAAACTACAACGTAGGAATACTAGTACAAGTAGTAAGTAGTAGTTTTTTTATATATATATAAATATATAAAGGTGTTTTAAACTCTTCTCACACTCTTGCAATATTCTAAACAATGTTTTTAAACTCCAAACGCTCTAAAAGAGACAGAATGTCATGATTTCTCTGCCTCCGCTGCTCTTTGCCTCCTGCAAGCGCTCTTGGCCACGCCCACTTCTCAGCTCTGCATGGTGATCAGCCGATCAGCTGCAGCAGGAAGTTTATCCTGCAGCATGGGCTGCACAAAGATGCAGCAGGTGCTAAATAATTTAAAATAATTTATTGTAAAAAATTCCATGCCGATCGTGCGGCTCACCCATAAATCAGCTGGCTGCGTGTCATGTCCAGTTTTATTTTGAAAAACCGCGATAGAGCGAGTCCGTGATAAACGAACCGCAAAGTAGCGAGAGACTACTGTGTATATACAGTGTGTGTATATATATTTATTTATTTACTAGGAGTGTAACAAGATCTCACTAGGCTGAAACGTTGAGTTGAAAACTTGTTCGCAAACCAAATAAATCAAAATTTGTACTGAAATGTCTCCCAAACTTTACATTATCTGCTCTGCAGCAGTTTAAAGTTCACAGTTCAGATTTATAAATGTCCTTTGGTTCTGTTTTCAGTCAGAGCTCCTGTTGCATCTCTGTTAATCACTCCGTCGGTCCGGTCAGCTGCAGTGAATGGACCTGAAAGCCTCCGTCTCGTTTGAATCTAAACATCCTGCTCTTTTTAACGCACACTGTCAGACCCTACAAGTGGCCTGCTGGAATTAGCCTCAGCAGGAGATGAATCGCCATGGAAACGCTCCCTCCCCACGCAGAAAGGGGAGTGGAGTTCTGGCTTTGAAAGCCTTTGTCTGACTCCGTGGTGGCAGAATGAGCGCTGAAGACACGGACAGACGCTTTGGGAAGTTTTGTCCTTCGGCTCTTATCTGGAAGAAGAAAAGTCTGCGGGGGAAACGGGGTGGACAGATATGATGCACGGTGAGACCTGATGCACGTTCCCGGTGAGAAGCTGTGCGCGGAGGTGCATGCTTTGTGCACGTGATTTAAATGTCCAGCTGTGGCTTGGGTCATGTGCTGAGGAATGACGTGAGATGCAACAGTTTTTTTTTATGTCATATATTTTTTTAATTGTCATAAAAAAATTTAAAATGTTCTTGTTTAGCAGAAACATAAATAATTAAATATAAAATAATGATTTTACAAGCTGAATGTTGCCCTAAGAGTTGTGTAGAACAGTCTAAACCA